CCCCAAAACCCCAAAACCCCAAAACCCCAAAACCCCATGATGAGAATATATATAATTTTAAAACAGAAATAAATCGAATTAAAAAAATAGTATCAAAATTAAAGCAATGAATGCATCTGATGTAGATCAAAGAATAAATAAGTCCTTTGATCTTTCTCTTTTATCCCGAAGACGGCCGTTTTTTCATAAATAGCATAAGCAGAGGACTAGTCTTCAATTTAATAAGTCGAAGCAGCCTCATGGGCTCTCTCCTGTTTAATCCCAAAGAAATATAATATCAAATCGAGAAAACATGATATCAAGGAATCACAATAATCCTAACATTAGATTACCACCCGTCACTTAAAGCAAGAACAGGAGTCATTTTAATTCTTCAAGCTTCAGTATTAACATGAATAATGCTTTGGAATCACAGAGAATGCTTAATGAAGCCTAGTATTAGACAAATAATGCAATTTTCAACACAAACTATAATTAGTCTCATGTTGCATAATAGCAGTTCATGAAGGTGGAGGAAGAAGATTAAATTCCAGAAGATTAAAGAAATTCATAATCTCGCATTTAATTTTACAAAAATCTCAGATCAAACAAATTTGTGATTGTTCCTGGCGACGAGATAATTGAGGAGGCTTCAAAATTAAATATGCCATATTTCTCGATAATAGAGGTACCTATAAAAAAATACATGCTCGTAAAAAAACAAAACGAAAAAAATAAAGCAAAAAGTAACATCTAATCCTTAAGAAACAGCTCTTAAGTAGGCTAGGGTACCATAGGTCTATTTAGGTAGATTAATGAAGAAAGTTTCAAAAATATGAAGAAGAAATTTAATCAATCGCCTTCAATAAAGGTGAAAAAGTTCAAAATCAAAGGAGATTCGGATTCTGCAGCTGAGCAGATATTGAGTCAATAATATTTGATAGGTGATAAGATAAACGAAGTTGAAGAGGATCCGAAACTAAAAATAAAGTCTAAATTATTGGGGATGAAACCCGGAGTAAGATATGCAGATAATAATTCTGGATCAAGTAGTATTGAATAAGGCAAGAAAAAAATTGGATTTGATAGTTTCAACATTGAATCCTTATCTTTCACAGATAAAATCAGAACTCAAATGAATAAAGATTTGGTAACAAGACTGTATGAGCATGAATATGATAAGCTTAAATAAAAGATACTAGAAGAGAAAGATAAAGAGAAGAAGCTAAAGCAAATTACAGATAAAGTCTAGTTTCATGAAGGCGCTTTGAGTGCAAAACCTATCTATAGATATGAATAATTCTTGGAAAGAATTTCTAGAAGCCCTAGCCAAATAAGATGAAATATCTAATATAGCATTTGGTAAATACTTCTAGATATCCAAAGTAAGACATGGTAGTATATAATTAATATTTCTATGTAAATTTTATCAATTCATTTATTATAGTTATATATTTTAAAGCTGGGGTTTTGGGGTTTTGGGG